GTTGATTTGACTGTTGAACTCAGATTATAAAATATCTATTGATTTTACTGTTGAACTCAGATTATAAAATATCAATTGATTTTACTATTGAACTCAGATTATAAAATATCTATTGATTTTACTGTTGAACTCAGATTATAAAATATCAATTGATTTTACTATTGAACTCAGATTATAAAATATCTATTGATTTTACTGTTGAATTCAGACTGTGAAAGAACTTATGATATTTACCTTTGAACTTGTACAGAGTGTATACTATCACTAAGTGGCTGGTTATCTCACTATTTCAGTAAGACTAAGAAGCAGTGACTGATTTTACTGTTTAACTGAGACTATTAAACAGCGATTGAGTTTACTATTAATTTCTGATAACACAAGCCTGCGAATTTAAACTTCATAAAAGTTGTTTTGGTTTTCCATAATTCAGCTACGGAGATTTCAAAAATAATATAGATTTTTCTATCACATAAGGATTTTTTCCAAATCTGGAAGAAAAAACCCATACTTGAATCAAATCATTATTTCGTTCATCACAATGAACATTTTTTTATTATTATGTTTGTTAACAAAAATACAAACAAATTGAAGAAAATGGAAGAACATTGATGTCAGACGAATATGCATCCCCATTCATCCTGATTTTTTTTGGTGTGAAATCTACGTTTTTTTAGTTTCAAAACTACGTGTTGTGGTCTTTCTTTTATGTATTGCGTTATGATGTTTTGTGAAAAATCTTTACGTAATGGAGAAAAATGGATATCATTTTCGGATTAAGCGTACAGGAATTACAGTAGAACATGTAAAAATTTCAAGAAGATATACCATCGCAGGCCTGTGTAATCAAACATATGTGATTGAGTTTACTAATACTTCAGACTTTAGAGACTAAAGCTACAGTCTCAAAATAACAAAGAACAAAACATAATTACAAACTCAGTGAGTGAATTAAGTATTCATCATCTTTAAAAAAGTAAATTATGATCGTATTCATTTGTCAATTTCAATCAATACGGCAATGGATGAAAAGTTAGATTTTTTTGGGGGGCTTGAAACAAGAAACATAACAGTATTGTACATTACCAAAATGAGATTGAATTAAGTTAAAGACACGTGATATTAACGGTTGGAGACAACCCAATTCGTTAAACTATTCATGAGCTCTTTCTGAACAAATTTAAATTTATATCCATTAGATTAAATTTTATATTAATAAGGAATGAAGAATGAATACATAATGTTTCGTGATGTAACTGTTTGAACTTGAGGTATAATAGTATTGACCACAAATGCATGTAACTAAGATGATATTGGTACACACCTTTCTATTCTTTCAAACTGATTCATACCATAGAATTTTCGACGTATCACGTTTTGTTCACGACGAAATATTGTAATAAGAAACATATTTATCTATATTTGGTACAGAATTCCATTTACGACCACCTGAAAATAAATTACAGAGTTATATAAGCAAAGACGAGTCTTGCTGAGTCGATGACAATACGATAGTATTAATTGTGTTGTTTTTGTACAGTAACTGATGCTTTCATAAAAACTTATCCTTGAAAGCTATTTTTCCCTCATGTAAGCAGTCTTCTTATATCATAAAAAAAAACTTTTGTCGTAATTGATTTTTCCTTATACACAAGTAAGCCATAAGGTAAAGTCTTATAAAAAATGAAAACAACAATAATACAAATAGTATGATCGAAATATTCCAACTTGTATGTTATCTTCACTGAATGACCCTTCTCAGATTTAGCGAACGCAAGAGAAGGCATTCTCTAACAACCATTAGGAAGGTTTGTCCTGACATTTAAGGATATAGAATGGCATATACACATGACATAAATAGAAAATAATACCATCTTTTATAACATTATTACTAAATCTGTTGGTGATGAGGAAAACAA